ACGCCCACCGAGCAGTTCCCGGACAGTCTCTCCTAGGTCAGATCCTGTTGGCAAATGACCCAAGAACCTTTCTCTCCCAAGCCAGCCAGCCATCTCCATGGCCGGGAAGCACTTTGCCATCAACTCAGCATTTTAAAAGTGAGCAACTAAAAGTACCATTGCCGTTAATCAAATAAGTCCACTGAATATCCCCAAATTTGGGTTCAAAACACATTTGATTTGGGGCCCTGACTTTATTTAGGGGAGACTTTCTTAAATGTAAATGTAAATATAAAGATAAGTCTTAAGTCATTTTTTAAAAGAGAGAAACAAAGGTAAGATTTTTAAATGCAATACATTGGGTAAACAACCATGTTTTAAGGTTCACTTTAAGACAAAATGAAATTACATGAATCCCTCTTAAAACTGTATATGCATTCTAAAATAATCTGGCTGATAAATCTGCTTTATTTTAATTTTGTAGGTTTGTAAAGTAATTAATTCTTCAATTAACATCAACATATATGATGCTTTCCTCTGATTCCAGTAAATAAACCCAATTTTCAGCTGAAGAAAATAAGAATCAGTGGAAAGGTTCACTGATTACTTCTTTCATGCAAGTGAGAACACATTTAATATAAATTTAACAGTCGCTCATTTGTTCATTCAGCATTTATTGAACACCTGCTCTGTGCCAGGAACTCTGTTAGCTAGTGGGGAATAGAGCAGTGAACAAGATAATATAGTTTCTACACTATGGAGCTTACAATCTAGTCGAAAGTCTTGCCATTAAACAACTACAGAAAGAAAGAAGTCAACAATTGAGATACATGTGATGCAGTCAAAATGAAGGGCGTTTACATGTTTCAGTTTCCTGCTGAGGTGCTCTTGATTACCTACATTTTTATTTGCTCTATAAAAGATATTTGAATTAAATAAAATTAAATAGAAAGTCTACTAGAGACACGAAATTATTTCTGAATGTTATGTGTTGAATATAAAAATGAGAGAAAATTAAAAAAAAAAAAAAAGCTAGTTATTCTAGAAATGCTTTTAACCAAGGCAGTTTCCAAGGGAATTCGTGACCGCTTCAGGTTAATGGTCATTGGCTGCATGTTCAGCCCTCAATTAAACTCTGAACTTCAATTGTTATTACTTAATTGACTTGGTTATATTTCATGTCGGCATTGCAAAATGACCTTCCTTTTGAAAAATAAAGATTAGCCTGACAAAGTACCTTGGGCCTGTGCTGAGCCTGCCATTGTTGCAACCGCCCCACCGTGTCTTTATATACGTCTGGGCCTAGAACTTGCTCGGCTTTGCATCCTTGCCACTGATACAAGTCAGCTCCAGATAAATCCAAGTGATGAGGGAAAAAGAATGAAAAACTAAATACATCTGTTGCCATGATTATTGTTAAAATGCCACATAAATCCACTGATACCCATTTTATTCTAAGCACAGGGAATTAGACAGTCTTAAATACCTTGAGGATCACAATTAAATATGGTCAAATTAGACTTATTTTGAAATGACACGATGGTATCTTTTTCTTACAAGTGACTCCAAATGTTTAGTTGTTCCAATTAACTCGATGGAAGCATAAATCCCCTTCACTTAGACATAAAACAATAAGAACAAGTTGGATTTAATGAGTTGGACTTTATATAAAGTAGGTATGACGCCAAGATCAAACTTTGCTATACGGACTGAAACAAATTAAGGCATCAAATGAGCACCCCCCTCCCCCCTTGCGCTGCGGAAAAGTTTTAAAAGTCTTTTTGAAGTACTTTGATCAAGCTTTGAAATCATTTTAGTGGATTACTATTGTATGAAAACTGTAATTTATAGGGCTTGACCTACGCCGCTCTTTGTCTCACAGCCTATTCAAAACAATGGCAGGAAAGTGAGAAGCACAAGGGAACCCGAGCTGTTCTGGTTGTTATTTAATTCATAATTCCATATTCCGTATTCAATCTTGGGAATCCAGGCGTGTTCTTCATAAAACGGGTTCCGACCATGTTTACTGCCCACAGGAAGGTTAGCTTTGGGTAATTCGATCGGGTGATCCCAACCGACGCTTGCGACCCTTTCTACCCTGAGAGTGACTTCACAGACAGGTTCAGAGGCCGTTCTCCGCACAGGGTGACAGGGCCGGCCAACTGCCATTGTTTACCTTCTGGTTTCCTCTCTAGTTAAGCTTGCTTTGTTCTTTAACCCTAGTTGAGAATGTGCCAATGGGGAGATTTTCTCCCCCCATCCTTGTCACAAAATGGTTATGCTTCCACCCAACTTGTTCCCATCAGATCACATGAAAAAAGCAAGCTGCCCCCAAGGTGAGCAGCCAGGAGAGCGTCTCTAACTAAATCACACAGGCATTTTACCATATTAATTTACAATTTTAATCAGCCGAATGACGCCACTCGGGCTGAAAGAGGCGGTGAGCCTCTCACGTTCTTTTGGCCCCTTTTGCCCAAACATTGACCGATGCCCCAAAACTCTTGCCATATTTGACCCTGTAAAAATCTTCTTATCTTAGTTAAAAGTTTCACGATCTTTCAGGTGCCCCACATGCCCTTGAATAAACACTCTGGCATGTGGAGGGTGCTTAGGTATGCTTTCCCCAGAGATTGGATCAATTGCTCCCCACTCCCAACCTCCACTCTGAAGACATATGGATCAGGACTTGGGATGCATTTTTGTCCTGGGATCATTTCCTAGAGAGAACAGCCAAGGAGTAGTGACAAAGTGCAGAATACATGTTCACGTGGGAGGAAACTGGCAAAGGCTAGCGTAGGGGCAGATGGCCGGCAAGAGGTGGGAAGTGAGGGGAGGAAAGCAGTCAAGATTTAAGCCCATCGAGACACAGGTCTGTAGGGGGAGCAGGTTATAAAGAGCAGACACCTAAGGTGCCTTGGTTCCAGAGAGGAAAGCAAGCAACGGGTGGAGCTCCTCTGCGAGTCAATGAACTGTTCACTTGGGCCCCGCGCGTTAATTAGCGTGGCCCACCTGGGACCGTTTAGTGGATTACCTCATCCAGGGCTCAGCAAATGCCCTGGCGGCCTCAATGAGTTAATGCACCCCCCAAAGACCAACAATTCATCATCTTTTCCAGGGTGGAACCAAGCCTTGCTGACAATGAGCAGGTCCACACACCTATGCTTAAAGGAGAATTACTTCCCCTGGAGAGCCAGCTGTCCACTGTGGGCCCCTGAGCCTTCCCTCTAACATCTGACTTTAGGAGTCTTTAGAAGAGTTGACACTTTCGCCTCACAAGGAGGCAAAAGAAAAACAGATTCTCATTATGGTTTTTGGGGGGTTGTTTGAGATCGGGGAAGGAGTGTATGGAGTCCCCTTAAACATCACGGCAGGATCAGCTCTGCTCCAAGCTGATCCCCTGCCATGCTGCAAGCAGGTCCCCTCCTGGTTTGTGAGAGCAGATGCTTGGCAAGTCCATATATGCCAGCGAGAACATCATTTAGTTTTACGTTTGCACACACGCCTGCTCTCTGGGTTGGCATAATTCATTAGCACAGTTTGCAGAGAGCTCATAAACCAAGATCTGGCTTTCATGTTAATGTTCTAATGACGACGGCAGTAAAAAGAGGTTGACATCCTGCGTCTACCTTCCAGAGCTGATGTTTATATTGTTCAAACTAAAAAAACAAACACGCAAACAAACCACGCACACAGATACAACACAGAGAAGTATTTCTCACACGAAGAGAAAGAACAAGCTTTAAGCTTCCAACCTGGGAACATCACTCCCTTCCCCCCACACACCTCCGACTGAAAAGTAGTAGGAGTAATAACCGCATTAGTCCTTACGTGGGGGCGCTTAGAATAACTTGTAACTTCAGCAGAACTTGAAAACCTTCTTCACAGCGAGGAGGCGGGGCCTCTGTGGGGGACGCCGAGGCCTTCTCGCCGCACATTATGTCAGGCCGCCAGGTAGAGAGTGAACGCCAAGGCAAGTACCTCTCATTTTTTAATTTATTTGTGCACCCTCACCATAAATTTGTTTAATGTAAAACAAACAAATCCTTGACAAGGGTTTAACAGGGTTTTCAACATCTGTGCAGATAAATGTAATTTATTTCTAAAGAAGAAAAAGCAGTTTAGAGCACGCCATGAAAACTGCTTTTAACAACAGTTTTGTCTAAGGCATGTGTGTGTCTGTGTGTGTTATGTGTCTGTGTGTCTGTGTGTTTCTGAGTGTTGTGTATCTGTGTGTTTGTGTGTGTGTGTTGTGTGTATGTTTCTCTGTGTTGCGTGTGTGTGTGTCTGTGTTTGTGTGTTCTGTGTTTGTGTGTTCTGTGTGTGTCTGTGTTGTGTGTGTTTCTCTGTGTGTTGTGCGTGTCTATTTCTGTATGTTCTGTGTATGTGTCTGTTGTGTGTGTGTCTGTTTCTGTGTGTTCTGTGTGTGTATGTGTCTGTTGTGTGTGTCTGTGTGTGTTTCTGTGTGTTCTGTGTGTGTCTGTGTTGTGTGTATGTTTCTCTGTGTGGTGTGTGTGTCTATTTCTGTGTGTTCTGTGTATGTGTCTGTTGTGTGTGTGCTGTTTCTGTGTGTTCTGTGTGTGTATGTGTCTGTTGTGAGTGTGTGTCTGTGAGTGTTTCTGTGTGTTCTGTGTGTGTCTGTATGTTTCTCTGTGTGGTGTGTGTGTCTATGTCTGTGTGTTCTGTGTGTGTGTCTGTTGTGTGTGTGTGTTTCTGTGTGTTCTGTGTGTGTCTGTGTATCAAGACGACAGCAGGGGTTTCAGCTCGTTCTGCCTCCCTCGCAGCGCCCGCTGGGTGCACTTGACCGGGAGGGGGTCGCCCTCCTCGCCCTCCTTGTCTTCCCCCTGCCTCTGGGTTCGCTGCAGCCCCAGCACAGCTAAGACCCGCACCTGGGACCCGGCGTCGCTGAGTCCTTCCAAGGGACAAGCAGCGGCGGGCTCCTGTGGGCCTCTCAGGTACAAAATGAACGGAGCGCTAACGGCACGGCTAGTCTTTTGAAAGAAGCAAGCGATGTAGATAACTTATTAAACATGTTTGTTAAGACTTACATCTTTATTAATATTTCCAAGCTCACCAATTCAACATTATAAAAGTCATTATGTTTTGTCAACACAATGGCAAATATTTTGCTAACTGTGTTTCTGGGCATACATTAATCTTTAACCTCCCAAAAAATAGGTTTACAAGGACTTTATTGATGTTTTACTTTAGACTGAAATTTGATTTGCTGCATAAAAAGTGACTAGATTAAAGTGAACAAATACAAACTCTCCTTTATTTTGCTTATTGAAAATCGCCCTGGGTTTATTTCTGGTACACTTCATTCATTCAAAGCTGACTATCTCTAATGCCTAAATTATTTGTGTTATATAATTATGTGGTATAAAATGCAGATAAAAAGCAGTGTACCAAATGTACTTTTAAAAAATTTTACTCATAAAAATACTATCACACACACTGACAAGTAGCCACGTTTAAAAATAAACTCCTGTCGAGGCTGGCACCGGCTTCGGCATCTCCCGGGCCCCCAAGCCAATGGGCGAGTGTGATTTCCAGACACAATGTAACTAAAACTTTCAAATGAGATAAATGAAAAATGTTTGGTGCTCAAGTATTATAAAAAGAGGAAATTCTCATCAAGCATATTTTTCAGCTTGGCTCGGGGCCACGCAAGTCAGGAAGCCGTAAAGACTGGACCGAACAGGCCACGGCACAGGCTGCCCAAGGGTGCCCTGAGCCCTGCAGGTGAGGCACCCAGGCAGCTTCAGGCCGGGGGCCTCAGCGCTGCTGGGTCGGGAGGCCCCGCGGCGCTGGGTATCCGAGTGCGGGAGGGAGAGAGAATACGCGGAGTTTAGGGAAGAGCAAGAGGGCGGTCTGGGAACTGGGAGGGGGATGGAAAAATCACACCTTTCAGTCTCCGCGTTTTTCCTTTCGTCAAGGAGAAACCATCCCGAAGGAAGGGAGAGGATGACCATCTACAAACCAACTGCTTGACAGAGGCGGAACCGCTGATCATGAGTGGGCTGCGGCTGTGGTTCTTGGCTGTTCACATCAGCAGGGATGAAGGAAAACAGAAACTCTCGGTGTGTTTGTCTAAAGAGGTAGTGGTGTGACCACGGGCAGCAGGAGTTCAGCCGGAGTTCAGGGCAGATGTGGCCAGGGGTTGCCGCTGCAGGGAAGCGAAATTGCTTCCGGAGTCGCCTCTTCCTCCCAGCTTCTCTTCTGGGACCCGCGGGGTCAAGCTGGGCTGTGGCACAAGGTGACGATGTCCGAGGGGAAGCAGGCTTTGAGCATGATGCCCCTCTCCCGGTTACAGTCCAGCTCCTGGATGAAGCCGTACCAATAGATGACCAGGCCCGGCCCAAACCTGCAAAACACGGGGAAACAATACACACGGACAGGATCAACAGCGTTCCAAACACAGTCCTCTCTGAAGCACTGACACTATGATTAGACGGCGTTATCGCAAAGTGTTTTTATTTTGGTTGCTGTATTATGACCGAAAGGAGCTGAACTTATACCAAACAGCTAATTTAATACAAGTATTACCACCTGGGGCAAATTTATTACCTTTCTCTCAAGGAAGCTGGAGCACGTCGGGGACATGCACCACCCTGGTTACCATTCAGGAGGTGCTGTGAGCCCAGGCTGATGTGACTCCCGAGCCGGTGGAGGGTACAGCCAGAGTCCACACAGTGAGGAGCAGGGAGCCACGGGCTTGGGATTTTTAGTCTCCTAACATTTAGGGGTGCTCTTAAAAATTAAACTTGGCTATTTTCAATGGAGGGAAAAGTAATTAAAAAGAGAGAAATAATTTAAAAAATGGAACAGCTCGATGTCCTCCTCTGGCTACAATGTCCTATCAGTAGGGGCAAAAGTCTCCTCTGTCACCCTTTTCAGTCTTTAAAAAAAAAAATCCATAGGACAATGGGGACCCCTCACAGAGGCCTTCTCCCGGACCCTCCGTTCTCTGCATTGGCCCCTCTCTAAGCGCAAACGCGACATGGAATTTGGTTGTAGGTTCTTACCATGAAGGGGAGGAACAATGGCACATAGACTTGTGACAGAATAGACAGATGCAGGCTTAAAACCTCAGTGTTTCTGAATGGTGCCTCCGAATCACCTCGCATTTGGGTCAGGGGCAGACTCAGGAAGTGGCCCCACAGACTCCCTTACCCATCAGGAAGCGGAGACCTCCAGGCTGGGTTCATAGAGATGTAATCACTATCAATCACCGGGCACAGAGATGTTTTGCACACCAGTTTCACGTTTTTCCTACTGAAGGTACTTAATTAAAGGGCAGCACTACTTTTGGTGTCATGTTGCAGGAATTTTACAGTGAAATCATAAATTATGAATGCTGGGTTAGTAAAAGGATGTCTAAAAACAGAACTGCTTTCTGTATTCTGACATTACAGCAGGCAGAGCCGCGCTAGGCCAAAAAGCTCTTTCCTCCCATGATTTATTATATGCGGTGGCGTACTTGCCAAAACTAACAGTACAGGATGGGCTGTGAGATACTGTATGCACAGGAACAAGTTCAGCTGGATGTCACGGCGTGGTTTATTTGGGGATTCACATCAGTAGAGGAGCCAAGTTGGATGCAAGATTAATCAAAACTTTTTGCACCCCCTCCATGCAAGGACAGAACCATGAGATGGAAACTCATCAACGGAACTTGTTCTAGGGGACACGGGAGCTACACTGGATGAGACGCCCTGGAGCAGCAGGCCCTGTGACATTGACCTGAATTCAGGGCTGGCTGCAGATGCTCTCTTCCCCCTCAGTATCGCCCAGGAAGCTCCCCTGGGAGTCAGAAGGGTCAGACTACCTTGGCACGGGGTGTGCGGGCTCAGTGCTCAAATGCACACAAGGGGAGCTCACACCTGGATGAGAACTTGCTTCTATTTAACGGAGGGTTGCTTAGTAACTCTTAATCACAAACATTTGTCTGCAACTGCAACACAGAAGATCTGGTATCTTTATTTTACAAAAAAGCTCTGTGATTGTTATCAAATGATCTCAGATCTGTCAAAACAAGTCTGGAAACAGCAGAAAGACCTGTGATTCTCAGGACCAGATCTGAAAAGTCTCAAGCCTTCCTATCAACAGAGCAGCCCTGGATCATAGCCTCGACAGACCGAGCATTAAGCTTAGCACATTCCTCCCTCATATTAGGCAGCCATTCCGGAGACCAAGATGTTCTCTAGAAAGGCACTGATACTTTTACAAAGGGAGAAAAAATAGATGATTTAAACAGTCATGGAAAGGAACAAAGAAATGTATGGGGGTCATAAACAACGAGCCCAGTGTTTTAAAGATTTAATAAAACAAAAACACACATTACTAGCACTGAGAGAGCAAGAGCAGCCTGTACTTTGGCTGAGCAGCTAAATCATAAGCCAAAGGATACGGAACATGACGGCTCTTTGCAAAAATGGCATTTTCTAGGCAGAAAAGCCAGGCTGGGGAACACCTCAATGACTGAGAAAATGGACTCCTTTTACTTGTGAGGCAACAGATGGAATATGCAACTCAAAAAGGTATTTGCAAGATCGTGAATCTGCACATTTCACTCGGTGGCTCACTACCAGGGCCCCCGGAGGCAGTGACATGGGCCTGAGAGTTATTACTAGTGTATATGACTAGGGACTCATAATGAGACCCTACCATGTATCTAAGTGTTTATTTCTCAGCTTTTGGGCGGAATTATATTAACTTAGGTACTACTAGCTCTCTCATGTGGCTCAAAAGCTCTGACTGAAAATTCATGCTTAATTAATTAAAGACAAGGAAAGATAACCACCTTTTGTGAATGGAGACTGGTAGATGGAGGCTTTCAAATTATGTGGCCTTTGAGTGAGAAAAGTAATAGGAACTTTAGAGGGCGACAGCTTTGGAAATTTAATGATAGGTCATATCTGGCCTCGTTCCCGATGCCCACTTGAGTACATTTTTGAGCTTTCTCCAACTTGGGATCCAGAGATTATAAGATGCTGGCAAGATAACCTTTTAGCAACTTATCCATTTCTAAAGAGGCTGACCACATTAAGAAATTTTATATGATTAATTCCTTGGTTATCTAAACTAACAGAAGGGAACATTTTGGTTGACAATTGGAAAAACCAAGGAAGCCAACTCTAGCGTTCTCTTCTGAAAAGGTGTAAAACAGAGAGAAAATGACCTACGAAATTTTTATGTAGGTCAAGTACATGCTTGTGGGTTGAGTGATTTCACCTTTCGGATGCCTATTCCCATTTATTGTGGCACTACTGGGCAAGAGTGAGATCGCTGGGAAGGCAAACATAACCTTTGTGACCAATAAAAATCAAAGAAACTGTTAATGGCATTTAAAAGAAAGCAGTCCCTGGGCTGAGGGAATGTGCGAAGCAGAAGGTTGGTCTGCTCCCGGGATCGCAGCCCCCCCACCTGCCCGGGGACATGCAGTAACGGGATGTATACGGATATCTGAATTGATTCTGTAAACACATTGCGAGGTTAACTATAACTTTAATGTTACTATACTCATGGTCAAGTAATAAGATCAAAGACTCCAAATGGATTTTACAAACTCCTGTGGAGCAGACACTGGAATGTGAGTGACTTTTGAACAAGCAATTTTGCCTGCAAATAAAATACCACCAAATTAGCAAAAATAACAAATACCTCTTGGGAAAAAATGGGAGGTGAAAGTCAGGAGCCATGACAGACCCTGAGGGTATGAAGGATGAAGTTCCACGTAAATAACGACAACCTTATAAATGTGTTTCTCTTGTTTCCTTTCATTTTAAAGTATTTAAAGACGTTAAATAGGAGGCTGTGGGATGAAAGCTGGGTACCCTTTTGTGTGTTTTGTGCACATCTGTCTCCCAGAGATTGTCTCCCTGTTTCACCATTTGTGTCTCTGCTATCTGGTGACCCTGTTGGGATAAACTGCCTTGCAGATTAGTGACATTTCTGTGACTGAATCTACGAAATCAAGGCTGGGATTTTATCAGTTAAAAAGAAAATGGAGCCAACACATAAAAACTGGGAGTTTTTACACAAAATCCTGCATATTTACTTTCTCTTGAGAAATGAATTGATAAGGCAACAACCAGTTGGGGCTGAGTCATGGCTGCCCCCTTTGGGCATGACATATGTTCTCAGGTTTGCCACAGTCCTCACTGCTCTCTGTTACTCCCCAACGTGGAGGCTCAGTGCCAGGTGCCACTGTCATCATGGTTGCACTATAGGTTTTCTTTAATTGTAGAGACCTACTTCTTCATCCTCGCTTCTCTGTCAAATTTGGGAAAGCAAACACAACCTTAGAGGTTTCATGTTTCAAGAAAGAAAGGGAAGGGAACACTTTTTTTTAATGTCCTACCTACTCTGCTCATTTTTGTTGCCCACCTGTTCCCTGTGGGCACTGGAGTCTTGGCCCTGCCTCGAGAGCTAACTCAGAGGTTCCCATGCTTGGGTCAGAGACCCTTGAGTGGTTGTGAAGAGACTGCAAAACATCCTTCAGCACACGACTATCTTCAGGGAAAAAAAAAAAAAAAGATGTATCTTGTCCTCTTTTAGAAATATAGATGATAAAACAGAATTCACCATAGCTTTCAGTCATTATATATTTTCTAAGTAGATGGAATCTAAAAGCACAGCTATATAGTTAGCAAAAAATTCGTTTCATTTGTTTTAGAGATTTTCAAATTTGGAGAGATTGGGGGCCACTGTTCTATTTGGTTTGGTCGCCTTTTCTGGATGAATGTGTTAGACAGAGGTGAACGGCATAAATGGAGGAGATTCTATGATATGGGTAATATGAAAGATGTGTGAAAATACTTAGTGAACTGGTAACTAACCTGTCCCTGCACATAAGGTTCATTTTTACAGTAAAAAATGAGCCAGAAGAATAGACAGATCCTGCACCAGGTCCCATTTAGAACTCGCTCTACTGAGAGCAGCCTCGCCACTGCCGGTAGGAAGGGAGGTAGAGAAGAGAAGCATCCGACTAACCTGGGCAGCAGCAGTAACGAAAGACCCACGGCGGTCCTGGGGCTGAGTCCTTTCTGAGTTGCAACTGAGAGTGGCAGAGAGACACTTGTGCTGGGCTGACCTCTAAGATGATCCTGCCTCTTGGGACTCATGCCCTTGTTTAATCCCCTCCCTTTGAGTGACTTTCTTCTAACATAAACAATACAGAAAAAGTGATAGGGTGTCACTGTGATTAGGGTACAAAAGACTGTGACTAGCGTCTATCGGACACACTCTTGCCTTCTAGGCTTGCGTATACCTTGATGAGGCAGACTGCCCTTTGGGAGAGGCCCACACGGCAAGGAACTGAGGGTGGCCTGTGGTCAACAGCCAGCGAGGAACTGTGTCCCT